GCATCAAATCGTGGTTGCGTGACTCATGTGAGTCAACCCTAGACCTATGGTATAGTTACATGTTAATACTACAAATAGATCTTTACCAATTGTCGATTAGTATTTCTGTTAGATCTATTATAAATTATATACTAGTTAAATCGCGAACATGTTTTGGGCTAGGATGATGTGGCAAGAGAAGCAATATGAGGAGAAGTAACACTTGGTCAATTGGCATACAGACTTTGGGGGACTAGGGATTCTGACTCTCAGTGTGATGAACAATAGCTTACTATGCAAGTGGTCATGGAAATAGGAGAATTCTGAAGGCTTATGGCAGCAGATGATATAAAAGAAATACTTGAGTGTTTGAGGTCACGACTGGTATAGGAGGATTACATTTCTTGCAGGGCATGGCTCATTTTAGTGAAATACTCCAAAAACACGTATTCAAAGGATTGTTTTTTAGAAAAGCAGGAGGACCTCCGGCCTTTGCATCCGGACAATGCATGCAGCCATTTTATTAATTATTCAGACAAGACCTTACAAAGTCATACAATAGTAAGACTAAAACCACCGTCAAGGCGACATATGTCGCTACTCCTATCCAGTTGATGTAGAGATGCTGATAGTCTGGGCCTAATACCAAACAAACCTCACAGCCAAACCTAACATGTAAGACCCGAGGTCCCAACCAGGACGCCTGTCGGGTATGGGGCACCCACCAGTACGGGGCACTCCTCAACCAGGATGCCTGCCGGGTATGAGGCCGCCCCAGCTACCTGCCACCAATCCATCTTCAGTGCTGTACTGCTGCATCTACCTTGCCCGGTCTAGCTGCCGTCGACACCACTACAACGCCAGACAACGTGACCATCCTGCGCTCGTCCATCCTCACATGCCCACCGGCGAGACCCTGCTGCTCCATGCCGTTGAGACCCGCCATCGTCGACGCGAGAGAAGGCACACCACACCACCTCACGCCTCTTCCATCTGGCGCCGCTCCACAAACGATGCCCCCAATAGGGAACACGACACCGCTGCGTCGCCATCGTCCGATCCGGTGATCTTAGGATTTCTCCAGGAGCGGCACGGGCAGGTTGACAATAGTTGCTTGACGATGCCTTCATCAAGGTAACGACGTCGACGCCACCGTCGCCCGCCATGACCGAAGTCGGCTCGGATTTCACCAACGACTATGTCTCCCCAACTCGCCGCCGGTGCTAATAGTGGGATCCAAGATCCATCACTACCAGCCTGGCCAACCGCCTTCGGTGGAGAAGGCAGCCACCACCACCATGCCCGGCGTCCTCTGTTGGAAATATGCCCTAGAGGCAATAATAAAATGGTTATTATTATATTTCCTTGTTCATGATAATTGTCTATTGTTCATGCTACAAATGTATTAATTGGAAACCGTAATACATGTGTGAATACATAGACCACAACATGTCCCTAGTGAGCCTCTAGTTGACTAGCTCGTTGATCAATAGATGGTTATGGTCTCCTGACCATGGACATTGGATGTCATTGATAACGGGATCACATCATTAGGAGAATGATGTGATGGACAAGACCCAATCCTAAGCATAGCACAAGATCGTGTAGTTCGTTTGCTAAAGCTTTTCTAATGTCAAGTATCATTTCCTTAGACCATGAGATTGTGCAACTCCCGGATACCGTAGGAATGCTTTGGGTGTACCAAACGTCACAACGTAACTGGGTGGCTATAAAGGTGCACTACAGGTATCTCCGAAAGTGTCTGTTGGGTTGGCACGAATCGAGACTGGGATTTGTCACTCCTTATGATGGAGAGGTATCTCTGGGCCCACTCGGTAATGCATCATCATAATGATCTCAATGTGACTAAGTAGTTAGTCACGGGATCATGCATTACGGAACGAGTAAAGTGACTTGCCGGTAACGAGATTGAACGAGGTATTGAGATACCGACGATCGAATCTCGGGCAAGTAACATATCGATTGACAAAGGGAATTGCATACGGGATTGATTGAATCCTCGACATCGTGGATCATTCGATGAGATCATCGTGGAACATGTGGGAGCCAACATGGGTATCCAGATCCCGCTGTTGGTTATTGGCCGGAGAACGTCTCGGTCATGTCTGCATGGTTCCCGAACCCGTAGGGTCTACACACTTAAGGTTCGGTGACGCTAGAGTTGTTATGGGAAATAGTATGTGGTTAACGAAGGTAGTTCAGAGTCCCGGATGTGATCCCGGATGTCACGAGGAGTTCCAGAATGGTCCGGCGGTGAAGATCGATATATTGGACGAAGGGTATTGGAGTCCGGAAGTGTTCCGGGGGTACCAGGCTATGGCCAGCATGACCGAAAGGTGTTTCGGGAGCCCCGACAAGTGTTGGAGGGCTTCATGGGCCAAAGGGGAAGGGGAAAACCAGCCCACCAAGGGGTGGTGCGCCCCCCACACCCTTTCCCACATTATTTGGGGAGGTGGGGCGCCTCCACCTAGCTTGGGAGGCAATCCTCCACCTGCTTGGCTTGGGCGCCAAGTCTCCCTAGGATTTTCCCTAGGGAGATCCAATCTGCTTGGCCGCCGCCCCCAAGGGTAAACCCTAGGGCGCCTCCCCCTCTCTCCTTTCCCCTATATATAGTAGAGGGGTGGGAGGGCAGCCGCACCTCTTCCCTGGCGCAGCCCTCTCCCTCCTCCAACACCTCCTTCTCCTCCGTAGTGCTTGGCGAAGCCCTGCTGGAGAACCACGAGCTCCACCACCACCATGTCGTCCTGCTGTCGGAGTTCTCCCTCAACTTCTCCTCTCCCCTTGCTGGATCAAGAAGGAGGAGATGTCCCCGGGCTGTACGTGTGTTGAACACGGAGGCGCCGTCCGTTCGGCGCTAGATCGGATCTTCCGCGATTCGAATCGCCGCGAGTACGACTCCATCAACCGCATTCTTGTAACGCTTCCGCTTAGCGATCTTCAAGGTTATGAAGATGCTCATCCTCTCCCTCTCTTGTTGCTAGAATCTCCATAGATTGATCTTGGTGATGCGTAGAAAATTTTGAATTTCTGCTACGTTCTCCAAGATCCTCGTGCCGCGAAGATTACCCAGGGGGGATCTCCTCTTGCCGTTGTCGAGACGAGGTGCAGCCGCAGTGGATCTCGATCTAAACCCCTCGGGCCCAGATCAGATCTCATTGCAGCCAAAATCTCATCCGCCAAACTACTGCCGGAGATCTCCTGGCCGCCGCCAACCCGCTGCGCACTGCCGTTGGAGGAGGGAGATGGACGCCGCTGCCCCAACGTGTTACCGCCGGCCGAGGACTGCGCCGTTGCCGCCGCCTCACCACAGGGGCTTCGCCCCGCGTCGTCCTCAGCGACGACGGTGGTAGTGGGAGGCGATGGAGGGGGAGGGCTGAGGGCGGTGTGGACAGGGACTCCCCGGGTATTCAAAGGATTGTTAGTGATAGGGCAAAAACACTTTTTTGGGATGGTGTTTGGTGTTGAGGTAGACCCGGTTTAATAGTTCCTTAGGCTCTACAATATAGCCTTCTCTAAGAACATCACATTGCAAGAAGCCCAGAAAGATGGCCTGGATTCCTCTAGTTTCAGAGGGAATTAATCTACAGGGGAGGCTTTTTCTCAGTGGAATAAGTTGAAAGATGCTACGGATAATTTTATCTTGCCTGGGGAAAAGGTAGTAACTAAATAAAAAAGGTGATTTCAAAGTTAAAGACTTGTTTTGCACCTCAAAGTCGGGTTACTTGTGAATACAAGATCGTTTTGAAATTAAAGATATGACTGAAGATTAAGATCTTTCTTTGGGTGATGTTGAAGAGTAAAATTCTGATAAATATAACTTGGTCCATAGAGGATGGGCTGGTAATGAGTAGTGCCGCTTCTATTGCAAGAAAGATACAATGGATCACCTCTTTGTTTGGTTATAATATGACCAGACTAACTTAGCAGATTGTTGCTTATGCTCTCGGCTTAGATAGATGTCCCAAAGACACGTCTGCTCTATTTGGTGATCGGATACAATATTTTCCTAGATCCCAGCAAATACTCGTGCTCTGTGGAGGACCAACATTTTGTTGAACTATCTAGAAAACTAGAAACAGAGCTTGCTTTGATAAAAAAAATCCCTGCTGATCTTGTAGAGGAAATATATAATATATGTCATAACATTAGCTACAAGGGTATGTTGCGGATAATCCAAGAATAAAGAAGCATTGATGCTAGTGTGGAGATGTTGAAACAGTCGGTGCAAGATGCTTCTGCAAGAACTAAGGGCTGGATGGCGAGGAGAAGAATTGCAGGATGATTTGCTAGATCATGATGCTTGTCTGATAATATTATGTACCCAATTTGGGTGAAACAATCTGATGCCCCACCTTCATGTGGTGCTTATGTTGCTGGGGCATTTCCTAATACTTTCCAGCTTCTGTATTATGGGCTAGGATAGATGAACTAGCCTTTTAGCTTGGCTGATGCTGGTGATGTGCTGGAGATGGCAGCTTTTACTTTGTCTACTTTCCTGTTTCAGTTTGTAAAGACCATGTTATGCTAGCGGTTTCTCTAAAAGAAATCGACGAGAGAAGGCTCATAGTTTCAGATTTTAAATACTAGTTAAATCGGTCCGAACAACCAGTTAGGTAGTTTTGAGAAAACTACTAATTAGGTACCTTTAGCATGACTTGTAGTACTATCGTAGAGCCACACAAGGAAAAAAAACCAAAAGATTGATTTGGAAGTCTATTTCGTTATTTTTTAAGTTTGTTACATTTCAAGAATAAAAATAAAATAGTAGAGTGACTCCATACTTTTCAATGTTAATCTAAATGAGCAGATGGAACTAGTCTGGATATAGGATCTCATTTCAGTTGATATGCCAACTCGTAATAATACACTGTGGCATTAATAAATAAAAAACCACAGTAAGCTCAAACGAAAAGTACATCACATACATGGTATACTTGTGTGGTTATTATTTTCCTCCCCACCCCTAGGATCAAAATCCTGACTCCTTTGATGGCTAGAATTTACCTTTATTTTGTAGCAGCAACATACCGGTAGCATAAACTTCCTAAGAAGATTTTATCCGGTTACATGCGTGATTTTGGAACTAACAGTAATTTCTCCTTCAGGCGCACAGTTAGTCCAAACACCTCTGTCATATCAATGTCTTTCCTCTTAAACCCTATTGGCAGTTCCCAGTCGAAATGGTACATCAAGTTTGCCAACATAAGCTCAACAGTCGTGATTCCGAAGTTTATACCAGGGCATATCCTGCGTCCTGCCCCGAACGGCAAGAGCTTAAAATTATTCCCTATGAAGTTGACATGCACATCACTGCCTTCCTCTATAAATCTTTCAGGTATGAATTCTTCACTATCCTCCCAAGAGCTAGAGTCTCTACCAATGGCCCATACATTGACGAAGACATGCGTTCCAGCAGGAATCATGTACCCATCAATACTGCAGTCAGCCATGGCAAGGTGTGGAGCAAGTAAAGGTGCAACAGGATGAAGTCGGAGTGACTCCTTTATGACTGCTCTTAGGTATGTCATATTGTTCATGTCGGCTTCACTGACAATTTCCTGTCCCTGGGGTACAATACTCCTTACCTCGTCTTGTAGCTTCCCAATCAGGCGGGGCCTCCTCATGAGCTCAGCCATTGTGAATTCGAGGGTGTTAGATGACGTGTCAGTTGAAGCGAAAAATACATCATGTGGATATCAATTAATTTGTATGCCATAATACTTATTTATTTGTAATCATTTGGAAGGTATTATATTTACTTACGGTTAGGAGAGCTTTAATCTGTTCTCTTGTGAGACTATACTCCAGCTGAACAGACAAGAGAATATCGACGAAATTACCACCCTGGTTATCTAACACTGACTTGTCCTTGTTCTCATGATAATCGATCACCTTGTCCAGCAGATCGGCCCATCTATACCTTAGTCTCTCAGCCTTTGCACGAACTGTCCTTTTAAGCAGTCCTACCCTAGACAATGTTGGGAAGTATTCCTCCACCTTGAACCCTCCTAGCAGCAGTGAGGTATCATTGGTGAGGTCTTGGAACAACTTGCTCCGTCCTTCTTTTAGGAAGAATTCACCGGACACGATGCGGTATGCCATGTCATATGTGAATGTCTTGAGCAGCTCACTCATATCCACCACACCACCGACTCTGGCAGCCTCGTTAATCTTCGCCATCACCATGCTCACCTATGATGGCATGAATCTTAAATTATGAGAGTAGCTAACATTTATGGGATTGTTAGCAGAGGGCAAATGAAAGTCAATTTTCTTTATTTTGTTTCTGACGTGGTAAATTTGTGAAAACGCTAAGAAAATGACCAACAAGGCTTGACAGTAGGAAATCATTGAATAAAAAGGGACGTCGTATTTGATTTTAACATACATATTAACAACCAAATATCATGCTCCCAATTTTATTTTATTTTTGAAATGTGGAATATCCTAACTAGTGGATGTTGTCTGTTCATCAGTTAACCGGAGACCGTCTAAGCCCTTACCTGCCTTTTCTAGATTGTTTCTAGATTGTTTATTCATCAGTTATCCACGTTCCTCTATGTATATCTGACGGATTTTCAAGCCATGACCTTTCCTCTCTCTATTGCTAGGACCTCAGTGAGCCAATTGGACTGAGTTGGTTTCGAGATATCTTAATGAAGCACAACCTATATTATTTTACCCACATGATCTATGGTCAGCTTTTTTTACAAATTATATTAAATATTAGTTAAATATGACGATATATTTTCGTCCAATGGACCTGCACTACGTTGCCTTGCGGATAGACAGACCCATTTTTTATTTATTTTTCTGGTCAACTAGTCATCTAGTTTTTATTTTCCACAATCCACAGTTTTCTTCATCTTCTGAAATAGTAAGATTATTTTTGTTTCGAAAGGAAGAAGTTTATGCATTTTTCAATTTTATGTCTTTATAATGTGTTTCACGTCGAGATATTAAAAGCAATTCTGTCAAATGTGGTGTGGCGAAAACTGGAGAATCATTGGAAGTTACCCCCAACATGACGGTGCTGCGGAAAGACTGGACCTTCCTAACGCTCAGCATGTGGTTGGTGAGGAGCTTCCTTGCCTGCCGCCAGCCTTGGCCATATGGCGCAAAGGCGACGTCGGACGAGCCATACATGAGGATGTCGGTGACCACGGAGTGCGGCCGTGACGCCAAGACGTGGTCATGCGTGCGCAGCACTGCCTCTGCGGCACACGGTGACGACACGACGAGCGTCGGCACATCGCCGAGACGAAGGAGCATCACGTCGGGGCCATGCTTCCTGGCAAGGCTGCGGAGCGAGACGTGTGGGAGCGATCCGAGGAGGTGCAGGTGGCCGATGATGGGCAGCGCCCGTGGTGATGGCGGGAGTCTGCCTTCTCGCTGTTGCCTTTTTCCTGTCTTCCAAGTGAACCAATAATAAAGCACAAACAAGAGGAGAGCGGGAAGAGGAACAGAAACCAAGCCGTCGGAGGCGTCTCTAGCATGACGAGATCTGCCATGGGAAGTTAATGTATAGCTCAGCACTTTCTGGAGCTCTGCGGCGCAATTGTTCTTCTGAACCAGCTTAGTTTATCATCACAAGCTCGATCGGTTGCTTATAAGCTAGCCAGGCAGAGTACTTGAAACGACAACCGCTGTGGGGTGCACTGAACTTGGAGCACTTAGTTAGGCGACAACGTAGCTTTCACTCTTGAAAACATACAAGGTAGTCTTTGGGTCTTGGTTACATGTTTTATGAACTTTCTATGACCCCTCAAAAAAGAAGAGGTGGAAAATACAACGGACCGGATAGGGACAAGTTGCCTGAAAAAATATTGGGGACGTCCATTTTTTTTCTCAGTGCAGGAAAATCAAAATCGACTTGCAATTATTTGGGTCAGTCAATTTTTGAGGATCACTCGACCCTTTGCAACCACCGAACAGAAGCCTACTAAGTACTTGGGCACAGTGGCGGAGCTCCATGTGTTCTTATAAACTACACGCTATCTATCACCAGTAGTAACCGTCGGGTCGAGTGGGTAACCGTAGGCGGCCGGTAGGCTGGGCCAGTTGTGAGCGGAGCCTCTGCATCGCCAAATGTCGTGGTTCACTACAATCATCATTTAGATGGGCCGGCCTTTCTCGGTTATTTCATCTACTTTGCCCGAAACAATCTTTCCCTTTTTCTTCTCCCTAATTTAAATGAATACCGTCCGGTTGGTTTGAGTTTGCATCAAATTTCATCAACTTCGTTAAAAAAATTTGGAATTCAACCAGACATATGCTGCTAGCGTACTGGTCCCCGTCTGCAAACTGATATGGTGTCCGTTTTGTGGGTCGGCGTTGGAGATGCCCTAACAAAACTTACTAGTGGCATGCGGACTAGAAGCCACGCCACCAGGCCTGAACCAAAACCAAGCCTGACCTAGCCTGTTGTCTTCCTCCTCCTTCATCCGTCTCGCGTCTCTCACCCGACTCTCTACTACTCCCTCTGTCCCATAATATAAGAACATTTTTGACAATAGTGTAGTGTCAAAAACGTTCTTATATTATTACTGAGGGAGTAGTCACTAGTGGCAATACATTTTTACCAAAGAATACAAACTTCTCTTTTTGTGGGTTAATGGAAAACAAACTTTAGCTATGTGATGTTCACTCTAGAAGGTGGGGGTCAGAATGATGGACAGTACTATAGGAGAAAGGGTAATTGGATTCCGATTCTTTGCCCTTCAATCATGTATCACACGAGCTATACATGGATGTGAATTAGCGAGCAATATGAATGTGTAATAACCAGTTAACCAATGGTTTGAGCGTGGGTAAGTCGTCAACATCTCCCGCATGCTCATGGAAGCACAGCACTGAGACTAACATGAGCCGTTTCCTGCAGCTAGTGCGTGTGTGGAAGAGAATTGATCCGGACACTCGTGCATCATGTGCTACCTGCAGCTAGTAGGCCGTGTATGGATGAGAATAGACCCGGACAGTGAACGTACGGGTCGACGGACGCCCACAGAAATGCGGACATTGAACGTACGGGTCGACGGACACCCACAGAAACCCGGCCAGCCTTCACCGTACCAAATTCCAACGCAAAACCGAACTGGCGTCACCGTACCAAATTTTGGCATGGCCAAGAGACGGCAGCCAGGACCGTCGCCTCGGTTGGCTCCCATGAATAACACATTTTAGTGATGATACTTCCAGGATTTTTCTTCTGTCGGGTTCTGCTAGCCCGTGTTCTTAATTTCTCTACTTCATAGTCTTAGTTCAGAGTTCTGTCATTTATTTTGGCTCGAAGGAAATAACATTTAGAGCATCTACAACTATATACAACAAATTTGATCTCTCAAACTCCATAGACAGGGATCGGTCAGACATGAAATTGACGTTTCCACAACCAGATGCCTCAGTTAGCTAGTAATCCTCAAATCCATACAATTACATGCACATGAAACCTAAACATAAGCGGAGCTTGTCCGGCTCTGCCGTGCCCTAGTTCGGCGGCTGGAAGTGCCACTCGGACTATTGATGTAGTGGTCGGCAATGTAGAGTAGGACATGTGACTCACACCGGCTCATGGGACTCGAGGCGTCGTCGTCTCCCATGCCCTACTCTTCCTCATCAGAGGCCGTCAGTTGCTGCACGTTGCTGGTCAAAGTGAGGTCAATGAAGGATCTATCATGGTCGGAGAATCGTAAATCTTTATATGCCTATAACACTCTTAAATGAGAAGGATTTCCATCAAAATTTTAAGGTTCCTTCTCACAGGCAAAGTCTGAATGAACGAAAGACTCCATGTGACCTAGCTCAGCAAAGGCCTTCCCTGAATATGTCAATTGGAAGAGCTCATGGAGATGATCAAGTGAAGAACGTCTCCAAGTGAGTGGCCAGCATTCACTTAATTTGCTCTCTATCAATTTGTCCAACCAAAAGAATGTGGACCTCCATAATGCATTGAACTTGCATGAGGCGACATGAATAGTATATGTGGCCACGTGGGGCAATGAAAGGAGTCACTAACTGATTAAATAATTATTATGTACGTAAGGATGCTGGCTCCCCGGCTGTCCTATAAATACCCGCAGAACTAACCAGCTAAGATGCACCAAAAGCAAGAGTGTCTTCAAACACAACTGTTAAAACATCTGTCCATTACGGATCAGTCCCACAAATTGCCTTCTATCCTACTTTCATACAACACCCTGACCAGCTCATGCAATATGGCTCTTGGTACTCTGGTTATCATGGCCACCATGCTGGTGTATTTTCTCTTGAAAAATAAAAGAGTGCTATTGTCCCAGCAGCAACGGGGGCGACGAGGCAGGCTGCCCCCGGGGCCTGCAGCGCTGCCCATCATCGGTAACATGCATCAGGTGATTCTGAGCAAGCCGGCGGTGTTCCGATGGATCCACGCCCTGCTCAAGGAGATGAACACAGACATCATGTGCCTCCGTCTCGGAGCTACTCATGTCATTGTTGTAGCATGTCCACAGATAGCCTCTGAGGTACTAAGAAAAAATGATGAAGTTTTTGCCTCCCGTCCCACCACCTTCGCCTCAGGCATATTCAGCTTCGGGTACAAGGGCTCCATCTTCTCACCGCACGGAGACCAGTGGAAGAAGATGAGGCGCGTCCTCACTGTTGAGATCCTCGCCTCGTCCATGGAGCGAAAGCTCCACCACCTCCGGAAAGAGGAGTACGACCACCTTGTGAGGTACATTAATAAAACTCACTGCAGCGACATGGCATGTCCAGGCAACATTGTCAACGTCCGTCATGTAACCCAACACTTCGTTGGCAACATGATAAGAAGGCTTGTGTTTGGTAAAAGATACTTCAGTGACCTACCAGCTTCATCCACTAGTGGGCCTGGACATGATGAGGTGGCACACGTTGCCGCTCTCTTCATGGCTCTTAACCATCTCTACAGCTTCTGCATGTCCGACTACTTCCCAGCCCTCGTAGGCCTCGACCTGGATGGCCATGAAAAGGTTTCCAAGGATGCCATGCAAACACTCAACCGGTTGCATGATCCCATTATAGAGGAGCGGATCCGCGAAAGGTCATCCACTCTTGAGAAATGTGGTGAAAAGAAAGAGGCAAGAGACTTTTTGGATGTCCTAGTTCATCTTAAAGATGCAGAGGGACAGCCATTGCTGTCCCTACAAGAAATTAGAGCACAAACAGCGGTTAGTATGTCACCTTAAGCTCAATAGAAAGTTCATTCATTGTTCTTTGAGCCATATTATACATGTATTGACCTTTTCTGTTGCGTTGTACTTATTACTTTATTTATTCTCACATTTATGGATGTAGGAAATGATGTTTGCAGCAGTCGATAACCCATCTAATGCGGTTGAGTGGGCACTCGCTGAGATGATGAACTTGCCAGAGATCATGCAAAAAGCAACCGAGGAACTTGATGTTGTCGTTGGTAAAGATAGACTAGTGCAGGAGTCTGACATTCCTC